GTAAGTCCCTATTAACAGTGTATGGTAAACAAACAGCAGTGTCCCACCCAATAAGATCCCAAATGGAAAGAAGCTATGTCTGGAGGGAAAAAACAGAAGATGGCAACCCCCCTAATATGTTGGGAAGAAGGAGGAGGTATCCCATGAAAATCCCTAAATATAGGTGGAACACTTAAGAAAGGAAGTGGAAGGTAAAAATTACCCGTAGAAGAGTAGATATGGTAAAATGAAGCTGAAAAACTAGGTAGGGGAGAAAATTAATAGGATTAACAAAGATCTGAAGGACATAAAACCAAGAAGAAAATCTGCCTGATGGTAAGCTATGGCAAAAAGAATCAAAGTCTGTACATTGTGAGGCTTGCAAGTACCCAATCTCAAAAGAGACAAAAAGATCATCAAGAAACAATGTCAGGAGAAGGAAAATATACTGCAAAATGTCTACGACAAAAAACGAGATAAACCATGCATATTTTGCAGTAGAGCCTTGAATGCAATCCATAAAAAAGGTGGAGGAAAACTGACAAAATCTAGGCTATCTGAAATGGGTTCAGTTGTTACAGGAAGAAAGCAAATAATATTGGGAGCAGGTAGGGGCCTACACAAATGAAATTAAGGGTAAGAAGTATAAATTAAATTAAATGAATGGTAAAAAATTATCAAACACTTGTTAAGCCTATGCTAAAAAGATATTTAACTTAATTAGCGAGAATCCTCAAGTAGAACTACAAGTAAACCAAAACTAACAGACATGTGTTAAGTGTAATCAAACAGTGCAGGACAAAGGATATCACTAAGCTCTAAAAGAAAATCTTAAATTAAAAGTAAGTATAACAATAGTGAAAATGAAATAAACAGGAATATATAAAATGAAATAAGTGTGTATTAACAATAACCTATGCATAAGACCTAATGTAATGAAAAAAAACACTACAGTTGAACAAATGATTGATATCCCAGTCAGATTAATTATAGGTAATCCTAAAATAATAAAGACCCCTAGTATCAGTGGTATAGGTGAAAGGATACAACTAAGCCTAATTTATAACCTGAACTGGACTACGAGTATCAACTAATCAAATGAAACCTATATTATACAACTGAAATAACTACAGATAATAATATCAAAAATAAAAGTATTCAAAAACCATAACAATATAATGTTTTATCTTTCCAAAGTCGGTGGACTGCATGTCAAAATGTGTGAGCCCCCAAACTCGAGGTGAGGCCCAAGGAATATCAGCTCATTGGATGATCAATCTCCTGATGAAGTAAAGCCAAAACTCTTCCTGTGGAGTACCGTGACCTGAAGCCAGTGTAAATGTGCGAATAAAACATATAACATATATAAGTGGCAAAGTAGAATAATGCAAGATGAATAACCAAACACAACTGTGTTGGCAGAAAC